GTGTGAGCCAGGAGTCCATCGATGCCTTTGAGATCAACGAGGCCTTCAGTGTTGTGGCTCTTGCCAATATGAAGCTCCTTGGTCTCTCTGAGGATAAGGTCAACATCCACGGTGGTGCAGTCGCCATTGGACACCCTCTTGGTGCCAGTGGTGCCCGTATTGTGTCTACCTTGCTCGGTGTCTTGAGCGCCAAGGAGGGCAAGCTTGGCTGCGTCGGCATCTGCAACGGTGGCGGCGGTGCCAGCGCCCTGGTTATTGAGTCTCTTTAAATAGTAAATTCTGTTAAGGAAAAAAACAGAGATGTGAAACGACCTTCGATCTTTGCATATGAGATACCAATTTCATTTTTGACGGGGAAGATACTCGGTGGTTTTCTGCAGACATACCATACCCATCCTGCAGCGACGAACATTCGCAGTATCAGTACCATTTCTTAGTATCTAGAATAGTTAATGAAATATCTTGTATGTTTGTGTCCTTCCAGTTGTTGCTTCGGGGGTTGGTCTGAGATGAAGTCAGAGATTCCAGCATTTCAACACCAATGTACTCAGTTTAATATTGTTGGTCACTAGACTATTGGATGGCATCAATGTGTTTTAATAAATGATACAGGGTATGTCTGTAAAGCAGTCACTCTGCCCCAGTGAGAATATTAACTTCATTAGCCTGATTTTGTGTACATCTCCGCTAAATTTAGGACAGCCATGCTGCCTCAAACCCGAAAAAGACAAGAGAACATTAAGAAAAATCGTTTTTGGGAGAGAAATATGAAAGAGTGATATCGGGGATGCTGTAAGACATATGCCTCTGTAGACTGCATTTATATCGGTGGATATACCAGCCCTGAGTGTTGCAGTGCGTTGTCCCGCTCGAGTCATCAAGTCGGCATGTAGATAATGCAAGTGTTCCATGTGTTTCATGAGAATCCCCAGAATTAATATATATCAGTATATAATTCCTCAAGTGAACATAGTATTATTAATTTGGTATACATTTAGAAAAAGTATCGCATGCGTCGTTAATCTATCAGACATTATAATTGAGAAACCCCACAAAACAAGAACTCATGCTTTCAAGCAAAGGCTCCGACGAATGCCATGAGGAGAGCACCGCAGGCAACAGAAACACATGCCTCAACGCGTCGTCTGCCCTTGAGGGTCTCATAACTCGACTCACTCAAGAAGTCCTCGGCGAGGAGTTCCACCAGGCCCGCGAAGAGCAAAAGACCGCTGCTAATGGCATTGGTGATGCCAACCATTAGCAAACCTGTTGCGCTGCCAGGATCGTAGAGGTTGTGTAGAACCAAACCGATAGCCTGGCCAAGAGGAGTTGTCGTTCCGTATGCTAGTGACATAAGCCATGGTTTCATTGAATTCGGCGCGAACAGATCCGGTATGAGCGACGCAATCCGAGATCCTAGGGCAAACCCTTCAAAGGTCTGATGAAAACTGATTGCAATTAACAGAACGACAAAGGAGGTGCCAGTCGCAACACTGAGCGCCATGCCGATGAAGATGCTGTGAAACAAAATGCCAGCTTCCAAGAGGAGGCACTGTAGAAGCTGACGTTGCGGATTCTGGATTGGCACATCTGTGTCGGTCTGCTGACAGTGGCTTTCGCTTACACGGGATCGATGCCGGTGGACAGGCTGTGACTGCGCAGAATGAGCTTGTCCACTGATAAGTCCGTCGTCATCCATGTAGTCATCCAGTCCATCAAGGTCATCTTCATCGTCCTCTTTATCCGGTGATGAGTCCGCCAGGTGAAGGCGGTCCGATTCATGGGACGAGCTTGAAGCTCTCGTCGTCCGCAACTTGGAGTTGTGTCCCATGCTATCTAGATTGAGATTATCTGAAACCTGCCGGGCCTCTAGGCCCGAGTAATCAATATCTGCGTTCCCCCCGTCACGTATTGAGCCACGCCTAACCTCGCCAATGAGATTATCATATTCGCTTCCATGCACGTGCTTGGCGCCTTTCATTGCAAAGAACATTTCCACGATAACAACGGCAAAGACCGATATCATTGCAACAAAACCTGGCATAGCACGATATGTTTGACTCCAAAATCGAGGGAGACATGGATCGGTCAGAGAGACAAATGCTGTGGGGAGCAGATGTACGAATGCCGTCGCAATCAACACACCCGTTCCAAAATGTCTCGATATGAAGAGGAACCGACGGGGAATCGGAAGACGAGGGAAACGGCGCGCCAGAACCGGAAAGGAGCAAGCTATTGTAATCCCAGTATTAGCAATGGCCAGTCAGAGAGCCGAGAGAAGCCAGTGCATACCGAATGTACTCAGCCCTAGGATGAGGAACAGTGCCATAACATGCAACGGGGTGTTATATTTCCCCCGCTGTTTAGATCCGCATGCCGGTGTGTCCTCTGAAGCTCCACCTCGCCGAAGAAGTTCTGCTCGCAAGAGAGCATCGGGGATTTCTGAGATTGCGGAGAGGGCACGCTTCAAGTCTACTCGGAACATAGTTAGAAACTGTCCACGATCAATTTGCAAAGACAGCTAACCTGAGGGTAGATCCTTCGCAGTCTGCCAGTCTTGGGCATTCTGCATTTTGTTATAGTCTCGAATTTGTTGAGCTGTAACCACATCCCCAGTTGGAGAGGGGAATTGTTCGTAGGCCGGGTAACTGTCCAAGAGATATAGGTATAGTGACGCAATTGGGTTAAGATAAAGATGAGACTACACGAGATGGTCGATCAGGAAGACAACAAAACCAGCAGAGATATTATTTTAAAACAAAAAGGCCAGACGGTGGTTTTTCAGACGCGATCCAGTGAGTCTTGAACTCCGGGGCTGCCCCTTTCGCTTAGTCATACATACTACGCACGTGGGCAAGACGAGTCCTGTGATTTATTGCAGTGAAGTTGCCGAGAAGTGATCTGATTAGATAAAATAACATCTTAGGCGGCTCCATGTCCTCTATCTGCTACCTTAGTCCATCCCTTGGTACCTTTGGGTCGTGAGGAAGAGGCATCTTGGCCTTGAGTCCTAGAACGTGTTTTTGAAGTTCTCTCTGTTTCCACCGATCCGAATTGAGAGCCCATGGCCTTGGGGCTTTGCGGAACAGATGGCTGAGGGGAATCCATGACCGCATCGTCCCATTCTTTTTCTTCTAGCAATTCCCATTCCGCACTGGCCATTTCCCCTAGAAGATTGGACTTCAATTTATCTACGATCCTGGTTGGGGTTGGGAGTTTCCATATTCGCATGAATTCAACTCCTTCTGATGCTCCCAGGAAAGAATGTGCCGTGCCATGAGAATAGTGACCCAACATGGGAAAGGAAGTTGTCCGCTGAATCGTGGTTCTGGGAGAGTCTTTTGCAGATTTCATTTGTGTCTGTGTGTCTCGGCCGGCAAATACTCGCATCAGAGTTGAAGGGTGGGCTGGCGGAGCTACCAGCAGTTGCCACAAGCTCTTTCCGATGTCGCAAACTTCCTCCCAGGAGTCCGATGAGAGGTTTATCCCTTGAGTTCGACATAACCATGCAACATTCCATGCCAAGAGGGTGGCTCCTTCAAGAAAGAAGGCGTATGTTGCGGGATCTTCCTTCGCTAACCGGGGCAGAGGCTTATCGATGAAGAGAGGCCGCGGGCGTGATGTGTGGGTGCGCGGGTCCACCGTCCTCGATGCAGCCGGGCTCGACGAAGATTGGTAATCAGCTCCATCGTGACCGTTGCGCGAGCGATATGATGCCGAGGGGGTGTAGATCGTAGGTACAGGATAGTTTTTGTGAGGCAGTGTAATTTCGGCGGGAAGTCTCAAGGAAAGATAGTGTGAGACAATGATCAGAAGATGAGCGATGTTAGAAAAAGACGTGGATATCTGTTCCTGTGGAATACCTGTACTCGCTCTGTTAGTACGCCACGAGATGAATAACTGCTTGAAAGCGACCTCGGGACTATGGAAACTTGCCATTCATATCTCTCAAGTCAACGATCAAACCACATCCAAGCACATAGGTCTCCCGACCTTGGCCCTTCTTCGTCGCCTTCCGCAGGCCATAGAGATTGGCGACTTCTCGACAAAGATAAATACGTGACTCCGCCGTCTTGCTATGGAGGGAATGCCAAACGTGCTCCACCCGTTTGCTGGTATTTTGAACGCCCGCCAAAATTCCAGTCTCCCGCTCTTCTAGTTGAAAGTTGGCAGATTCAGCATCCGACCGTCTGCGTGCTAGGGCTTCTTTTTGCTTGGCAATCTCGGCTTTTTTGGCTTCGACCTCTAATTTCAAAGCCTCAAGCTGATGCGAAACCAATTGTCTCTTTGCCAAAGACACTGCATGTCTAGTGCTTATCATTTGGAGGACCCAGCGGGGAGAGCAAGCTTTGTCCGTATCGAGCAGGTCTTGTCCGTGCGGGGAAGGCTCATCCCACGAGCTACCGCAGGTAACAGCGGTCTCGATCTGCTTTCCAAGGACTTCTTTCTCTAGAAGAACTTGAGTGCTGTCGATTCGTAGTTGATATAGCTGATTGCGGGCACATGTCGGACAGTGGAAAGAAAGGCGAGATTGAGGGGCACGCGAGCATATGGAACAGCTCATCGTAGATAATTTGATTTTATTTTCAGCTGTTCTTTGAAGGCGTAAGGGGCATTTCCATGTTGCGTTCCAGGATAATTATGGGTGCTACTTGAGTCGCCGCCGAGAACCATATAGAGGAGTGAGAAGGGGTCGTCAAAGAGATAATAATCCCACATGACTCAAATAATACGTTGATATAGAGGATATGACCGGCCTCAAGACATCACCTTTAGCCAATCTTTTAGAGGAAGGAAGTGAAGAAAAGACGGGATGATGTTCACATGCACCTGTCGTCACCTGACGCTCCGTTATCGCAATCTTATCTCTCATTTTGGATAAGGGCATCTGGAACATTCACGAATCGAAACAAAAGTGACTTCTAAATCTACTGAAACAATCATCGGTCTTGGTATGGCTTTATTTTGACACCTCATCATATCGAGTCAGCAAATCCAGTATGCAGGCAACACCAAACAGGACCAGCAAAATTCCTCGACGGGGGACAATGTCACCCCGTGTCAGCCAAGGAAGCAAAAGCCCTACGGGCAGTGGGAGCCCCCAAGAGAACGGAAGCCCTCAATTACCGGTCGAAGATCTAGCATCTACATCTATCCATGATGAAGCCCCATTTGCTTCTAGGTTGACACAAGGGCTGGAGGACTGCAATTGGGAACAACTCCAGGGGAAATATGCCGATGCAATGGACGAACACGGCCGAGTAGAAGAGAACATTCGTGTTGAAACAGCCAAGCTTCTTGAAGTAAGTCTCAAAGCATGTTCTACTTGCAATTTTGTATCTGAGCAATCGGTAGGCTTTCATGGCATGGTCTCAAACTACTGTTTCGCAAGATGAGAACAGGGCTTTGAAAAGGTTCGATCAATCCAGCTTTGGTTTAAGATATCGATTAATTCTCTACAGGTTCAAAACCCAAATGCAGCACGTTCAAAATTCCGAAGTCAATGTGGAAAACAAAAAGAAGCATTGTAAGTATCTTGTCCTCGTGACTTGAAAACAAGATCTGTTTGCTGATCTGTCTAAAGATGAGGAAGTAGTAAAGGCTTTCCAAAATGCACTTGCCTTGCTAAACGATCAAATGAAGATTTGAGCAAATGATTGACGCGATATTTATGATTATGAGTTTATGTTACCCCATCCCTTCTCATCTGAAAATCGATCTTCAAGACAGAAATTGCACCAGTATGCAAGAAGCTATCCAGTGTGTCTCACCTACGATGGCCTAAAAAGAAAAAGATCAAATCATTGAAAAATGAATGTACTACAAAAAGAGACAGTTGATATTATGGGAGTCATCCAAATGGGACTGCTAGGAATATCACCAATCATTATTGCAGGCGAAAGAGTTACAGGTTGGTAGTCTGGGAGAATACGAGGCTCTGGACTCTAGTCACTATCATTTTAAGGCCTCGGTGATTATTCCCGGGGGCGGTCACTCCGGGTAGCTCTCCCTGTGATATCTTGCCAGCTGGCGTTGAAGCGTCTGCCGGTGTTGGCCAATAAACCTTCCTCCTCAGCTTCCTCTGCATCGTCGTCGAGTTGCGCTTCATCCAACTGAGGTGAACGGAGAAGGGAAGTAACAAAGACAATTAGATATAAGCCTGTGATGTTGGTGTTAGATTAACGCGAACATGGAACTCTGGTAGGAATGCAACAAGACAAGATTGAGACTTACCGAGGAAGAAGAACTGAGCCCAAAAGAACACCACTCCAAAGAATGGGTAGTTCAGCGTGACCCGATTCAAGAAGGTGCTCACGACACTTGGTGTGCAGACTTGCTGCGCAGCAGGATTCTTCGCCAACTCTGAGCATGGCTTGATAAGTTCTTTGGTGTTTGAACAATCTGGCATTCCAATGAAAGCTCCCGGAGCGCGATCGCAGAATGTCTGTGGCCCAAATGTCGCATACTGGGGCGCGACTATCATTGAAATCGAATAATTCAGCGCTAAAATGATCAGCATCAACATGGCGGTGGCCAAAAGTAGAGCCTGGGGAGATGTGTGGCCGTTTCTGATTTGGAAAATCCTGACCCATAGGAAGCGGATTCCGACCACGGCGATTCCAACCACAGAACTGCAGAAAAATAGCAATACAAGTGCAGTAAATATGGCATAGTCAATGGGAAAGAACCTGGCAGATTTAACAAGTGCCCAGTTGACGGGATTAAAGATGTTGACATGTGCGAGGATGTATCCACAACGATGCTTGCAAATCGAATTCTTTGCTTTGTCAATTGCGGTCAAGAGCATGGATACCCACGTTAAGAAAGCAATGAATAGCAGCAAGACGCCCCCCAGGAGCTTGAAGGGACGGAATACTGCTCCAAGTTTGTACCATGCCCTTATCAACCAGCTGCGGCCTCCGCCTTGGGATTCTTCGGCTAGGCGTTGGCGCCGAATCAGGGTCCTTTCTTCCCGCACTAGTGTATCAAGTTCTCGACGATCTTTGGAGGACAGAAGGTCGGGATCTCCGGCACATCGTCCCTCAAGCTGCCGTTGCCGCTCCTGGTTTACGTCAAGTTGTTGTGTGGTGCTCGCTCGCAGGGTAGCACTAGAGATTGATGGTGCAGTCTTGATCAAACTGATTGGCAGAAGGGCCAGTCCCACGGATGTGTATAAGACATAAAGACAGAGCCCAATTGTCATCAACAGACCGAGAGCAAAAGTGAGAGCGCGCTCCCCATCTTTTCAGAGTTATGTCAGCTTCACATTTGTGTTACACGACAGAATACTCGAATACTCACGATTTTCAGTCAGTAAGCGCCTGAAGTAATCCAGGTCCATATCATTCTTTCCTCGTGACACTGGGACGAAGAAGCCAACTAAGAACAAGATCACGACGACTGCAAAGAATGAGAGAGTGTATTTGAGGGCACCCCAAATCCGTTGGCCCAAAGTTTGGTCCCCCTCCTCGGTCGCAACCTCATCATATTCCTCATACCAGAAATATGTGAAGGGGATGACCAGAAGACAGAGCAAGGCATCCAAAGAGTAGAGAAGATAGTAGATGATGGTCAAGGAATAAGTGATTCTGTCCACCACATCCTGTGTTGCCCAGTCCTTTCGCTGGCCTAACTCGGACGATGTAGTCGATGATACCAAAGCGACATCGACAGGCAGCAGAAGCACTGTTGCGAGAAGACTAGTAATTGAGATGATGCAAGCCAGAGTGACTGAAGGAGAGCGGTCACGGGGAGTTTGGTAGACGTAGATAAACACTGACGCCACTGCCAGTAGAATAGCTACCACCACCCCATACACAGCCCAGATGAGGGAAGTCTGAAGGAGTGCCATATTGAAGGATAGCAGTTCACACTATGCAGATTGAGGTCTGCATCAACACTCCTAGCAAAATACTAAAGGAATGATGCGAGGAATGAAACTTCACAAATACACCAAATATCAAAACAAGAAAAATGATCTTCCCTTCCGGAAGCTATCGCCTGTGTCGTCATTGATCGTTTGACGCTAACCCATTTTGAGGCATCTACAGCCAAGGGCGGTATGATTTATCCAGCAGAATAGATTGACCGCTTGATTCTGCCAGGCCAGTCAGCTGACCCGCTTCTGTCTCCGCTTTGCTTCCGCTTCGAAGGAGCTACAAACTTCACTGCACAAGACAGAGATCAATCTGGATCTTGATCTTGATCGCTTCTCGTGTTAATATTGAAACTTTTATCTGTGTCATCTCTTTTTTTTTGCAAAGCTTTCCATTCCCAGTTTTCCCCCTAGGTTTGCAATTGCAATGTGCATCTCAGGCCATATCAAAAACACAATTTAGCTCATTAGCGGTTCTCTAGCAGTATCAAGCCTTTCACGAGCTTTGTCGGTGGACGAAAACTTCAAATGCAGTGCTACACGGAGCTTTTACCCCCTACGGGGGTCACCCATGCTTTGGCAGTTCCTTTCATCTCAGCAACCACCAGCAATTTGATTGTTGTCAGAACCTCTCTATTGCAGGTTTTCTCTCTCGTTAAGGTCACCTCCTCTCAACCACAGACGGAAGATTCAGAGCCTCATTCTTCACAATTTTCTCAGCCAGAAACAAAATTAGTACTGGAAAAAGAATACCCGCTATCCGGAACTGTGACTGATTTAAGCCGAGTCAAAATCTTGAATACCAAGAGTGGCGGAGAAGCCATATTGATTGCAGTCCGCAATGCCAAGCTTAGCTTGATTGAGTGGGACCCTGAGCGTCATGGAATCTCAACAATTTCCATCCATTACTATGAGCGGGATGATCTGACCCGCAGCCCCTGGGTGCCTGACCTGAGCCGGTGTGGGAGCATTCTGAGCGTTGACCCAAGCAGTAGATGCGCGGTGTTCAACTTTGGAATTCGCAATCTTGCTATTTTGCCCTTTCATCAGGCGGGCGATGACTTGGTAATGGATGACTACGATTCAGAGCTTGACGGAGAACGCCCAACAAATCAGAACTCTGGCGGAGGAGCGCAGATCGAGAATGGCAAAGAAGAATCAGCACACCAAACACCCTACTCCTCCTCCTTCGTCCTGCCATTGACTGCCTTGGATCCTTCATTGCTGCACCCTATAAGTCTCGCGTTCCTATACGAATACAGGGAGCCGACGTTTGGTATTCTATATTCTCAAGTCGCAACCTCCACTGCTCTTCTTCATGAAAGAAAGGACGTGGTATTCTATGCTGTGTTTACACTGGACCTTGAGCAGCGAGCTTCGACCACCCTTCTTTCGGTATCTCGTCTTCCTAGTGATCTATTCAAGGTCGTGGCACTCCCACTTCCAGTAGGAGGTGCCTTGCTCCTTGGCTCAAATGAGATTGTTCATGTGGACCAAGCCGGTAAAACCAATGCGGTGGGAGTCAACGAATTTTCAAGGCAGGTTTCTACATTTTCAATGACCGACCAATCGGACTTGGCGTTCCGCCTCGAACGCTGCGTGGTTGAGCGACTTGGTGGTGGTAGCGGTGACCTGCTCCTGGCTCTTGCATCCGGCGACATGGCACTAATCAAATTCAAACTTGATGGTCGATCTGTCTCCGGTATCACTGTTCACCCCCTTCCAGCGCATGCAGGTGGAGATATTTTGAAGTCGGCCGCCTCATGCTCCACCTGTCTCGGGGATCGAAACGTCTTCATCGGCAGCGAAGATGCCGACTCGGTGCTCCTAGAATGGTCGCATTCATCCGCCTCCACTAAAAAATCTCGGCTTGAATCAAAACAAGCAGCCGATGGTCATGATGATCTGTCGGAAGATGATGACCAGATGGAGGATGATGACCTTTATTCCTCTGCGCCTGGGTCGACACAAGTCGATAATCGCATGGGAACCGACAACTCAACCCCCGAATTTTATAACTTTCGACTGAACGATCAACTGTCTAGCATTGGGCCACTGAGGGACCTCACTTTGGGCAAAGCTTTCTCGAATACGAATGGCAAAAGCCAATCTCCAAGTGAAACCGTTGCCGCAGAACTGGATTTGGTGGCATCTCAGGGTTCAGATAGAGGCGGCGGCTTGGTAGTCATCAAACGTGAAATTGATCCTTTGACTATCATGTCTCTGAAAGCCGATGATGCGGATGGTGTTTGGTCAGCTAGTGTCACAAAAAAGAGAGGAGCTCCCAGCACAGACAATCCCTCCTGTCAATATGTGATTATCTCTCGGCCTACGGATTTGGAGCAGGAGGTGAACGAGCTCTTCGTCGTGGAAGAACAAACCTTGAAGCCTTTCAAAGCACCCGAGTTCAACCCAAATGAAGATTGCACGGTTGATATTGGGTCTTTGGCAGGGGGTACTCGTCTGGTTCAGGTCCTGCAGAATGAAGTCAGAAGCTACGACATAGGTACATTTCAATTTAGCGTGCTAGCAAACATTGCATAAGCTAATTGTGAAACTCTACAGATCTCGGATTGTCACAGATTTACCCCGTTTGGGATGAAGACACCAGTGATGAGCGTGCGGCTGTGAGCGCAAGCTTTGTGGATCCTTATCTTGTGATTATTCGGGATGATTCATCGGTATTGCTTCTGCAGGCGGATAAGAGTGGTGACCTCGATGAAGTTCCGCTTTCAGATGAGATTAGCTTGTCACAATGGCGCTCCGGCTGCCT